GGGGGGGGGGGGGGGGGGTCGCTTGAACTAAAGCTCATCAAACGAGCTTTAGTTCAGGTGCCCCTGCCACCATTTTTTAAGTGCAGGGCCACTGATGCACGAGACACTGCAGTGCTTTAATTCACAGCCTCTCTATTTAAAGTGCCACCCCCTCCCAACCCCAGAGCACGTGTAAAAGTGACCCTTATTGTGAAGTACTAGAAAAACGCACATTAGCCTATTTTAATGCATATTAGTGAAAGTTAGTGTAGTTTAGTGAAAGTTAGTATAGTTTTTTTTATGATGCTTTCATGTGCGTTAAAATAGGCTAATGCACATTAAAGTGTATGTGTAGACACACCCTGGGTAACTGAAAGTGCCTCTTCTCCCATACTTTATTCTGACAGCTCAGATTTACGTAGACATTTAATTTTACTGATTTGTACACTGGAAAACTGGAGTAGGATATTCTCAATTGAGAGCCTTGGAATTAACTTTCCTTTTCTCTCTCTTTCCCCACCCCATGTGTGATCTGACACAGCCAGAGGCCTTGTCTCTGCATATACGTTTTGTTATACTAAGGGCCAAAATGGAGCTACACTAGCATAAAGCACCTTATCCTGGTATGTATTTGCATCTCCACTTGGGGTTTCACCAGTGCATAACTGTCTCAGCAAAAAAAAAAAATCATACTCTTGGCCAAGATAATTCTGTGCAGGTACAACTTTTAAGTAAAAAGAGTTGGACTTTTGGAGGTCCGTTGACCTGCAGGGCATGCTGTTTACTTGGCCCAGTGTTCTCCTCCTAAGAAGTCTTAACATGTGCCTTCAAGCCTTAACTTGTTCGTCCCTTTGGACAAACAATATCCAAGTCTTCCTTCAAGATACCACCTTAAATTCTTAGCTTTCCTTTTCCTTGGTGTCCGTATTTTTCCCCTTGTCTATTATCCTCTCTGGGCTATTCTTATTTCCTTCTTAAGATTTCTTATATTTATCTCATAAGATGCACTGCATTTTTACCTTTTTTTTAATTACTAAAACTTTTAATACTGGCTTTTAAGTGTGGGGTATTAAGTCCATTAGAATACTACTTCAGTCCAAACACACCCGTCTCAATGCTCCAGTTCTCTATTTTATGAGACATTGTCAGCTTAAATCCTGTTGCCTTTATTGCTTATTGTTGATATAAATGACACCAAAGGTTACTGCAAACAAGACTAAAGAATGTTTCTTTTTCTTATTTCTATTTTACTTTTATATCTGTCTTCTAGCAATTACAGATAGACTTATTGCTTTTTCTGCACAGTCCTTTTTATTTCTCTCTGAGTGTTTCTAACACTAGTAGAGATGAGAAACATTTAAAAAATATTGTAAAACCACAAAACCTGGGAGATGGATTTGGGAAGGTTGTAGCCCCCAAAACTAACATGGACAATTTCTTCTTTTTTTTTTTTTTTAACTGAATACGTTTCAGTTTCATAAATCACTCTCAGGTGGATGCTGTCAGTCAGTCAGGTTAGTAACAGGTAAGGAATCATATTATTGTAACTGAATTCAGTTACTCATGTTTTCAGTTCGTTCACTTGCATTTCTCCCAGTTTGGACAATGACTCTGGAATTGCTCTGTAATAGCCACCTTCCCCTTTCAGGTATTTGTACTGTCAATTCAAACTGCAGGGAACTGTTCCTGTACAGACAGCTGTTTCCATTGGGACATTAAAAATTAATTGCATCAATCCTCTTGGCCTTGGACTTTAAAAAGATCTTAATTTCACAAGATCTGAAGCTTGAGTTAAATTTGACCTGATGCTATCCTGTTAAATCTCTTGTTGAGATGGTTTTAAAGATACCAATTATGTAGGAAGCTTTAGACACAACAGTCGCTCTTGTAAGTTTGGTTTCAAAGAAACATTTGGCCACATTCAGAGATGGTTCAACCTTTTTTCAGCTGTAGAATGATAATTTTCTTACTGTATGTTTTTGAGTGAATTGTGATATAAGCTTTGTCTTCCAAATAGGTGTCTGAGTCACAGGGTGATTAAAATATGGCCGGGCAAATATCAGAATCTGATCAAATCAAGCAGGTAAGAGGCTGCACTCAAAGGATTGCTTTGAGAGTTTTGCAATACCTCAACACACACAGAAGCTCAGCACGTGAGGGTTATGGAAACTCATTTCAAGAGGTTTATCTAGCATTTTGTTTTCAGAGGTAAGGAAGCTACTATCGCGCATCTGAAAGGCAACTTTTCCTCCAGGTATCAAGAAAAATGCAGCCAGTGTTGTATTTTTTATACTCTTTTGAATTGGGAACAGCATTATGGCAGCCAGGATTTTAATATGTTGGTCATCAGCAAGCCTGGAGTCGTTTCTGACTGAGCTGAACAGCAGATTTCAGCATCAAATGCTGCCATCCCATTGATGCTAAATTATCTCCGGTGACTTGTTCTGCCAGTGTCAGTGAAGTTGCACAGGAAGAAAATGTTTTGTGGAAACATAGGTGAGTTTCTACATTGAATAACTGTTCAATTTTTTGTTTTTGCTCAGTTCAAAGAGTTTCTTGGGACATACAATAAGCTTACAGAAACCTGCTTCCTGGATTGTGTGAAAGACTTCACTAGCCGAGAGGTTAAATCAGAAGAGGTATGTAGTGTATGAATTTCTCTCATGTGAAACTGCTGCAGTTTCTCTCGTGGAATTGCCACACCGGTACAGGTGGGGACTGACTGGCTAAGCAGCAGCTCTGCAGAAATGGACCTGGGGGTTACAGCAAACAATAAGCTGAGTATATCACCAGTGCGCTCTTCTTGCAAAGAAGGCTAACGGCATACTGGGCTGCATTAGAAGGAACACTGCTAGCAGATCAAGGGAACCTATTATTCCCTCTGTTCAGCACTGGTAAGGCCACATCTGCAGTACTGTGTCCAGCTTTGGGCCCCCCACTACAGAAAGGATGTGGACACATTGGAGAGAGTCCAGTGGAGGGCAACAAAAATGTTTTGGGGGCTGGGACATATGACTTACGAGGACCGGCTGGGGGACCTGGGCTTATTTCGTTTGGAGAATAGGGAGCTGAAGGCTGCTGTGAAATCTTCCTTCAGTCTTCTCCAGAGGGTTTCAAAGAGGACGGAGCTGGACTGTTCTCAGTGGTGGCAGATGACAGAACAAGGAGCAATGGGCTCAAGCTGCAGCAAGGGAAGTTTAGGTTAGACATGGAAGAACTTTCTCACAAGCAGGGTAGTAAAGCGCTGCAACAAGTTACCCAGAGAGGTTGTAGAACCTCCATCGCTTGGAGGTTTAAGACCCGGCTAGACAAAGCCTTGACTGGGATGGTCTAGTTGGGAATGGTCCTGCTTTGACCAGGTGGTTGGACTAGATGTGACCTCCTGAAGTCCCTTCCAACCCTCCTTTTCAATGATTCTAATATTGGTAAGAAACTTTTTGAAAGATTTTCCATGATCAAAGAGTCATAGTTACTCGAGAGATTACAGCTCCTTAGTAAGCAACATCCTGGTGAGAAATCTTATGTGAAAGAAGCAAAAATTACTTCACTCCAGTTCTGCTTCCATGAAGATGTCCATCAGGTAGAATTCTCATTCTTGAACCTTTAGCTCCTTTGTGTGAGAGCATTGCTATCCCATAGGCCTTTAAAAAATTAAATTTTGGCCAACAGTTGCTAGACAAAGCTGTGCTAAAACCTTTTGTCAGTTAGACTATGGAGGGCAGAAACTTGTTCAGTATTTTTCTTATATTTAGCATTTTGTAAAGACTATCTCTGTGTTCCCAAGGTTGGCATGGGCCTTGTTGCTACAAAGAATTAACCTTGTGTAATTTGTCCTTTTAGAGCTTTTTCTAAAGCTCTAAAATTCTTGAACAGGGAGACTTCTGCTGCATGGTATCATTAAAAAAAGGGAAAATAACCCATCTGTAACTACTCGGAAGATGGAACGCTCCCTAACTACTCATGTCGTTTCAGGGTTTCAGTGCTGTTGGACTTTTTTAGGGCACTGTCCTATTTTGGGAAGGCATTTTTAAATCGTTATGAATCATGGGAACAATAGTCCAGAAAGGCCTCCTGAGGATGCATTTAATTTTTTTGTTTTTCTGCTGTGGTTCCCTACTGGAGGAAATGACAGAAGAAAATCCAGATTCTTCTTACAAACTGGACATTTTCCCCATTACAAACAGGCAGTGGGACAAAGGCTGTTTAATTGGGAGCTAATTATGCATAGGTACAGGAGACCAGATCTTCATCCAACCATACGTTACCTCAGACAGTCCTCTGTAGTGTTTTTCTTTTAATCATTGCACTGACCTTTCTGTGTCTCCTTTTCCTGTAGATGACTTGCGCAGAACACTGCTTACAGAAGTATTTGAAAATGACACAAAGGATCTCCATGAGATTTCAGGAGTACCATATTCAGCAGAATGAAGCTCTGGCTGCTAAAGCAGGGCTTCTTGGCCAGCCTCGCTAGACAAGAGAGTGCTGTGTTCAGACTTCTTTCTAAAGCAGGGCCAATGTTTACTGCGCTGGAAGTGCGGATGTTTTGGTCTAACAGCTGTTGTGGGTGGATCCACCAGATCAGAACGGTGTTTTATAGACCATCTGGCAGGTGGAAATTTAAGGAAACAATGATGGGCCACAGGCAAATTCATTAATGGCTGACAGGCAAATGGAGCCTATTTTCAAGAGCCTTTTTACCGTGCAGTGGAATAATGTTGGTACAGCCTTTTCCAGAGGCCTGCAGTCTGGCAGATTATAGAAGTTTTGGGGAATGGCCATTTTTTGTGTAATTCCACTATGACTGTTAATTTCAATACAAAGCACATTTTATGGAAATATGGTATCTAAATGTCTGTCTTTTTTTATTTAATCAAAGTAAAGTAATTGCAAACTGTGGAGTTGTACATACATCCTTTTCTAATAGCCATTCATAGAATGTATTGCTACAGAGTTCTTTCTACATGCTGTTGCAGTGGGGTTTTTTTATCCCTCATCTTCTGCACAGGCTTGATCATTCATTGCTGCTTTGAGTCACTGATGAACAGATAACAGTTAGTGACTGCTTCAACAGATCAGCACTGTTACTTGAATTACCAGGGAACTGTTAGGTTGGCTACTGATAAAAAGAAGCAAGAGACAGGTCTATCGCTCAACCTTTTTAGTGCTTACACCCCAAAACACAAAAATTAAGCTTGTGTCCCAGGGCCTGTCTGGCTCACCCCAACAACAGTGCAATTCAGCTTTGTACCTATACCGGCTGGAGAGACTCGGGAAGGGAGAGAAGGGTGGGCGTGCAGACTAGCAGCAGGTCTTCTTGAATTATCTGAGCTCTCCAGTTCCCCTCCCTGTCAATCAATACTCTATATTTATACATGATTTATTCTAACAAACATTCTCTGATTGGTTTACTTAAATGTTGTTTCACTGAGACTTTGGGAACCGGGCTGAACCAAATTTTCTACAGCCTTGAAAGGTCTTGGGATATATATCCTTGTGAAAACTAAGATCCTGGAAAGAAGGGGTTTCTTATCTCCATCCTTCACCATCTTGGGATGCTACTTGCAACCACTATAGTTTTTCTTCACCTTAGTTTATGGTCTTCACAGACAAGGCTGCTTTCTTTTTACAACTTGCCTAAAACACTTAACACAAACCAAGCCATTTAGCTGCCAACCAAATCTAATACATTGGTAACATCAATAACCACTGCAAACATTTTTAAGTTAAATCTGTAATATAATATATGTTATCTATTTTAAGGCTTCCTTTATGTTTCCTTTCAGGTCTTTTGCTCTGTTTAATATGATTTCACTCCTGGTTTAGTTGGACATGTTAATTGCTTTCTTTGCTTTGCTGACCAAGCTAGTTGTCAGATTCTTTGCTTTGCTGACCAAGCTAGTTGTCAGATGTGCAGAGGGTCTCTCTGCATCCTTTGAGGTCTTCTGCTTTAGCCACAGTACAGCAGCTTGGCCTAGGCCCCTTTGAAAATGGCCAGTGCTGGCAAGAGCACAGGCAAGCGCTGGCTACTTTTTATTCTGGGAAACCATTTTGCTTTCTCATTCTGTTCTTCACTAGAGAGTAGACAGAGGAGCCACTTGCTCAGACCCTAACCATCTGCTCTGACTACTATGATTTTCATGGCCCTTGCCACTGCTAAAAGAAACTAGTTCAAGCAGGCAGAACTGCTGGGCTTTATTGCATAAAGCCGAGCCAGTGAAAAAAATGTGACAGGCTCTCACTTCTATTTTCACTTTAAATAAAAAAGATACCCCCAAGAAACTGGCTGCTCATGTCTGTTTTGGTACAGATGTTAACATTTGCCAAGTGACCTCTTCAAGTTGAAATTCCAGTCCTAATTCTAACCCGGGGCTGTCCACCCAGAACCCCAGAGGTTACATGATAAGCCCCAGGAGCCATGATTTAACCATTCATGGGCTGCAATGTGGCTGCCAGAACTACTGCACTGGTGCAGCTTGAACCCAGGGGATAAACACTGCCATTGCCTGCCAGCATGGATGCACATGCATCACCCCCCCACTTGCCTACCACTGAATTTGGGGTCTTTGATTGCTGTTGGCAATTAAATCAGCAGTAGGGGGAAAGTGGAGGAGTAAGTGGTTCAACCCTTGGAGCCATACCAATACTAGTAGGTCCCAACAGTTACAATACCAATACCAATACTAGTCGGTCCCTGCTGCCAGAGGTGGGTTGCTTGGCCTCTGAGAAGCCCTGCAGTCCAGATCTGGCCCCCACAGCCAAGAGAGCTGGGATACCCCTGTTCAAATTCAATACTTTGTAGATAATGTAGATACAGAATAAGGTGCTGCATTGTCTGCTCTTACCACGGACCCTCTGTATTGAATCCTGTGCTGTTAAATAGAGTCATTTCTTTACAGTTTATTGCTGAAACAATTTAGCTTAGGAGTCAAAATGACAGCAGTAATGTTACTTCAGGAACCAGATTATGAAATACAGAACATTTAGGATAACTTATAAAAAATAAGATATAGTAGTATCCAGCTGGTTGTAAAATAGCTTACTTTATGAACAGTAGCTCTCTGCAAAACAAACTGCAGGCCCCCTTTATATTGCTTAGCTTTGTTATTATATGCCGCTTGCATAATTCTTGAACCACCACAGTTATGACATCCCTCTAACACTCAATACATTCCTTCTGTTTATGATGATGATAAAAAAGATATGTACTTGCATTACACAGGGTAACCTCTGCATAAGCATTTCCAGCACTGGTGGTGGTAACATGGTGTAAAACCTGCAGTATTTGATGCGATTCTGCGCACACTTCAATTGCATTAGAAACGTGCTCCGTGCATTTCTTATGGTCTCCTGCAATCAACGCGCAGAATCCTAGCGCTGGAAGAGATCTCGGGAGGTGATCGTCCAACTACCTTTTCCAGGGAGGATCCTCTCTGAATAACAATGCCAGGCAGATGTTTGTGCACTAAAAAACTCTCGCTAATAAAGTCCACAGCTTCTCAAGGTAGAAAGATTTTCCTCGTATCTAGGCGCAGTCTCCCTTGTTACAATTTCAGCCTATTGCTTCTTGCTCTGTCCCCTGCAGACACTCAGAACCGTTGATCAGCACCTTCATAACCCGTTTTATACATGTTAAGTTGTAGAACTGGTTAGAAGTTAACAAACTTGCTTTTTATCAAAAAACAAGTAAAATAAAATACTGTATTTTCTTACATATTACACACCTCTGAATATAATATACACCTTGCTTTTGAAAGGCAGCATGAAGGAGAAGAAAAGATTTTTCCAGAGTTCTGGGTGTATAGAGCAGGCACAGAGCCTAATCTTCAGCTCACTTGCACTCCCTTTCCTGTTTAATTCAAACTCAGTTCCATGTGAAAATGCACAGGAGAAGCGTATTCAAGTAATTTGTAAGGTTTAAGCAAGCAGAGGATGGAAATTTTAAGGCATGAGTTACTGCACCTCTACCTGCTGAGATGGAAACAGCGCCAGTCCTGACAGTTGGGGACATTCTCTCCATCTCCTTATGTCGGCTCTGGAGGTAGATGTCCTTGAAGCTCCCATGAAGTAGGGTCTCTTAAATTTGCCTACAAGCACTGGATGTACTGCTAGAGTCAAAGTCCCTTAGTTTGGAGGCAGTTACTCTGGTATTACAGCATTCAAGGTAAGGTATTATATTGGTGTGATTACTTCAGTAACGAATCTCTCCTTCAGAAAAATTTTTACTGTCACACCAGTGCTAAGACTGTATATAGAACAGAAAGACCTAGGGCAGTAGTAGGGGAGTGGTGCAAAAAGAACAATTACAGCAGGCTGCAAGAATCTGCTGCTATTTGGATGACTAAGCTGAAAAGAAATGAAAGAAGCAGGCACCCTGCAATCTCCTGAACCAGCAGCAGTCCTGACTGAGATTTACTGCAACATTTCTGAAATGATGTTATTTGACTGTCTCGTGCAACACAGAAACCCAAAAGGTAATGCAGAAAAAACGATTGCTGGTAGTGTCAGCTGTTTACATTTTCCGCATGCACTATTGATACATGTTTACAGATTTTGTTTAAATGGTTTTTGTTTGCAATTGCTTTGAACCACAGCACAAGCAGCAGTGCCAGTTTTAAAGTGGGATACTTGGCTAAATATAGATGTGAACACTGAAAATTGTAAGCAAATTGAGCATTGTTTGTATTTATGGCAGCACATACGAGTCCAGGATTCTGTTAATGTACAAACATGAAACAATCTCAGTCCCTACCGTGAAGAGTTTACAGTTTAGCTGCAAAATTGCACGTAAAGCATTCATAAAAAAAACAGACAGGAGTACAAGGACATAATTAAATGATACTAGTCACCATGAAAAACAGCCCCAGTAAGCCAACTGCCTAGCTCGTGTTCATAGGCATTGCATTGCGGTATTAAGAAGAAATGAAAGGAGAGTAGGGGGTTGTTTTTTAGGGGTGTTTACATGGAGCTCTGCTCTGGCACCAGAGAAAGTACAAAGATGTGTTTTGGAAAATATTTTAATTGTGCAGTTAAGACTAGCATGGTTTGAAAAACAAAAGTGAGAGCTAACATCTTGATACTGGGTAAGTGGGCTCTGAAGAGCCGGAAAGAAGACAGCAGGCATGAAAAGGCAGCATCCTGTCCTTGTGCTCTATTTTATCCTTGTAGTGCTGGAGTCTTCCAGTAGGGCTTACAAAAATGAATGGTGGTGTTCTTGCTTTAAACATTTCCTTTTTTTAATCCAGTCTAAATGACAAAGGAGGGGACACGCAGAAGGCTACCTCAATAACCTCCAAGTTCGTGTTTCTTTTAACAGGGTAATGCATGGGTCCCTTAAACCTGGAGATCTAATTTAAAGGCTGTCTAGGTTTCTTGCTCCTATCAGGCCATTATTATTTATTCATTGGTGTTATATGCCACCCTCCCCATTGAAGGCTGAGAGCAGCTTACAAAAGGGGGCAAAACAACTTCTAAAACAAGCAAACAAGAATAAAAATAGGAGGAAAACATATCAGTTAATATTATGGTTCAATATATATAACTTGCTCAAGTGCACACTTTGATTTTTATTTGTTTTAAATAAAGCCCCAAGACTTCAATCTTTAAGTATTATAGCATTGAATATCACCAGCTATTTTCATTATTTAATCTGTGCGCGTGTAGAGTTACTCTGCTGGAGAAGTTGACTGAATGAGGCAGAACAAATGAAGACAACAAGGATTCATGAGCAAGTGATGGGGGCTAGAGAGAGTTTATGTCTTTGAGGAGGAGTTGTTTAGGGAGGCAGCAAAAAGGGGGGGAAATGGCTAAGAGAAATTAGGAATTTTGTCTCAACTCAGTGGCTTTTAAAAAAGTTTTATTGAGTTAAAGGTTAAACAGGTACTACAGGAACTGGTT